CAGACGAGCGAAGCAGGGTGACGAAACAACCTCGAAGGCACGGTGGCAGGCAAAGTCACGATGGGATGGAATAGGATGGGATGGGGCTGATGGCAACCGCCTCATCCACAGCAGATCTTGGTTAGCCTTACTCTGCAGCGGGGCTGGGATCTTGGATGGATGGATCGCCGACTTTCCTCTTCTGAAAAATCATTGCGACGCTCGAGGGGGTGTGAACCGTGAGGGGGTGCTTTTGCTAGCGTAGCCAGCTTGGCAGCTGGGCTTTGCTGCTCTGCTTGGATTAAAGTGCAGGGCGATGTTGCAATCCCAATATGGATGCGAGAACATCCGTGCTGCAATGACGGGCCAAAGCTCCAGAGTGCAGTTCCTACTTCCAAGTTTAAAACGAGCTTTCGTCTGAAGGATGATGTGGTGGTGGTGGTGGTGGTGGTGTTGAGCGAGTCAAACCGACGAGTTGTACTGGCAGCCCGGTCCGAACTCTACTCCGCAAGCTCTGCAAGTTTGTTAGAGCGATCAGTGACGAGTGACGAGTGACGAGCCGTGTCAGTGTGTCCCCCATCATGGCGTTTGCTCGAGTGGAAAATGTTTTTTGGCGGATGTGTCATAGATCTTCCCCGAGGAGGGTGCTGGCTTCGATTCTGCCTGACCCTCTGATGTCAAGGGCCTTGTCTGGTCGCTGATCCGGATCAGCAAGTTGAATTAGACTTCGCAGCAGCAGCGTGCCGTGTACCGTCTTCGAACCTCGTCTTGTGAGACATTGCGGCGCCAGATGTCATGCGTGCCATGTTCAGGCTCCGGCGATAGGCGCCAATCTATCGATCAAGGGTTCACCCGATTGAGGCGGGAGAGAGAGGCCTGGTCGAAGAATACCCGACTCAGACACAGTCACTGCATCTGTACCAAAGTTTCTATCTTGGGGGAACCGGTGGGATGGTCGTCGCTTGGGCCGTTGGAGTTTGGAACCGTCGAATTCCAGTTTACCTATGTTGAGAACATGTTCCGGCGCATTGTAGCGATGACACGGGTGAGCGACAGCTTCGGCGGCAACTCATCCGATGTTTAGTCTCGACATCGACCGTAAGCGTTTGGGGGGCTCGAGTCCGACCCGGCCCAGTACCGGGGCGTCCTCGACTCTACGGTCACCACAGGTGAGACTGAGAGAGAGAGAGAGGGTAGCTCAGCTCACTCTGTCAGAGGGACCCTGTCAGGCTGTTTGCTTGTCAAACCTGGGCTTGGCTTGCCTTTGCCTAGCGTGCTTGGATTTCTTCTTTTTGGGAGGTGCTTGGTGGATACGGTAACTGGCGATGCTGCTATTGACAGGGCCGATCTGTAATCATGTGGTCAACCTACCCCGGCCTCTGACCGCTGCCCCCTTTCGATCGTTAATCTCACCGATGATGGGCAATCGACTCAAGCGAAATGTGGTCAATGGATTCCCCTGGTCTTCAGCCCATGAGACCAAATACACCAAGACACCATTGGAAATCCTTAAGTGGGATCTGATCTGTATCCATACTCGTACGAATACAGAATGTCAAGTTTGCTCTGCGTTTGCGGATGACAGGTGCATGATCCACGGGCTCCCGTCTCTGGCATCGGATCGTTGCCCCCTTTGTTTGTACACTATCCAGACACAGAATACGCATAATTTGACAGCTGTAGACTATTGGACTGGGAACTGAACGGTGCTATTGCACGTCCCCACGGGTCTCCTAGGAAAGGATTCGTAGTGTAAATGCGTTTGACGGCTGAGGCGCTTTGGCTTCAAACATTGTATTCGGAAATTCAGACACGAGTCCACTGCAGCTATGACTGCGCGTCCAAGTGTGTTTCTGGGCAAAATAAAAAAATAAGAGGTCACGTCTGTCAAAGGTTCCCTGTGCAAGTGGAAGCGAACCTGGCACGCTGGGTTGGCCCTCGCTGTGCAGCTCGTGATGGACGTGTACACGGACGCCAAGTGTCGACCGGATACATCATTGAACATGGAATGGCAGGCTTCGGAAGTGGAGTTTGGCTTCGCCGCTTGCGTGCAGCGCCGCCGTGCTACTGTGAACATGTCGGCACAAGGTCAATCCCACTCTGTTCTACGGGAATCCTTTCGTACCGTGCTGGTAGGCCTCGTTGGAGTGGGTGAAGCCAAGCTGTCACTGCCTTGAGGCTTGTGTTGTGTGTTGGAGCGGCATCGGTTCGTCAATGATCTATCCGTTCTGGGCAGCCGACTGTTGCACCTGATGGAAATGTTGTTTGCGCGTTTCTGCGTCTAGAGGTAGTATCGAGCAGACTGTAAAGACCCTGGTCTCCTCGCCATACTCTTGTGAAGCTGTAAAGTAGCATGTCATGATTCACACCCAGGCCTCGCGGCTTTTCGCAGACCCCTTAAAGGCCTCGACATATATGTATGGAAAGATAACTTCCCGTGTCTACGACATCGTCGTCGTCGTAGAGAGAGGGTCTGTGAGTCGTGGACCTTACTGCCGTGATGTCCGTGTCCGTCCTAAGGCAAGTGATGGACCTGTCGAGAGCGGCGCCTAGCCCGATGAAGTTCGTCCATCATCCAAAAAAAGAGGCTCGTTCGCGAAGGGGACCCGACGATACGGACCAGCCCACATGGGAACGCTCAAGTCTGGACGAAACCGGTGCCCTCGCCACCGCAAAAAGCAAATTCTTCGTTCCAACTTTCCGCAGGACAAGACTCAATGATCGATTCTCGTCTTTTTCCTTCTTTTCTTTACTTTGGTTCTCTCAATGTCCTTCATGTCCCTCTCATTCTACCCCAAACAGCGTCATCTCCAAGTGCTCAGTCGATACGAGTCAGGGAAGTAGCAGTGAAGGTCTCTCTGCTGCATCTCATGCGTCGCAAAATAAAGTCGCAGCATCGCCTGAGTCGGTCTTAGATTGCTTGCTTTTGTCGCCTGCAGAGTCTGATGAGAACAGACGTTGGAAACGCTCGACCTCTTCCACGTCGCCTTTTTGCCCTGGTGGGCATGTACTCCGTAGGCACTGGCCGCGTCCTTGTCTCCGTCTTGAACGTGCTAGGCTCAAGCAAGTACGAGCAGTGCTTGCTCATTGATAAGATTGACTCCTTTTTGCAAGCATCTCAGCCACGCCGTCCGCATCCCCAGGCCATGTCGAAGTGGCAGAGCAGCAGCACGACAGCTCGAACAACGACCTCTGAAAGTGGGCGGTGGGCACGTAAGTAGGCCACTGTCCCAGTGGTCTAGCCCGCCCCTCTCTGCGAGAAAAAGAAAAAAGGATATTCCAGAATACGTGGAGCATTTCGTAAGGCCCGGAACATGGGCCCAGGGTCAGTCAGGGGCGTTCCTTTTGACCACCGCATATGGATGGGCCGCCCGTCCATCTGCTGGGTTCGGAAACGGCGGGATCGTGAATTGACACCGATATTTGCGAACCGAAGGAGCCAGCGGGCTGAGATTCTGAGTTGGCAAAGCAAGAGCGGGCGGCGGGTGGTGCCATGGTGCGGAACGACGCCAGCCAGACCCCGTACCCTATGGGCAGAAAGGCGTTTGCATAGCACAACAAGCTTGCCTCTATGCTACGTCTGCGCCAACTCTGCGATGATGCATTGGCCTACGGCCTGCCAGCTCAACTATCAGCAGCCTCCTAATGAACGGTGGGCCTCTCGATGTTGGCTGTGGCCGCTGTCCCGCACCAGGCTGTTTCAAGACATGTCGCCCACTATACGTCCAATTCTGCTGCTTCGAGAAGGACTAATAGTGATAGGTCATCCGCATACTGGGGAATTCTGAGACAAGACCAGGACAGAAGCGGATGAGCGAAGTCACCTGCGATCCATCGGATCATGGCCCTCACAACGGCCCAGAGGCGGTGTCTCTCTGTACAGAATGGACTGCGACTTCTGAGCAGGTACTCGGTATTGGCTCTGAAATGCTCATATTCGTACGTATGAGTGCAGCTTGTGGAGAGGCAACAAGGCTAAGGGTTATGACGGTTGATCGGGACACGAATCGCTACTGAAGCTATTGCCAACAAGTGCCGTTACTACGATGACCGGCGCGTGCAAATTTGCAGCCAAGAGCTGAACTTCGCAAATTGAATGCGGCGTACGGTCCACGGATAGACAGAGGCCCAAAGCGCTCAGCGACCGACCCTCCAGACGTCGATGAATATGATTTCATGCAATAATGGCTGTTGAGCCTTGAGGTCCAGGATTTTTTTCTGCTGAATGGCGTCGCTGATCATCCCCGATGAGACTGTGGAAAGTATGCCCACTGCCCGTAATGGGCAAGGACTCCTCCACACTTCTTCAGGGGCCCCGGCGATGCCCTGCAGAGATCATTCATTGGAAACCTGGGAGGGCATTCACGAGTCCCTCGGTTGGCGACTGGGGGGGCAGAAGACTCGAGGAGGGGGGCGCGGTTTCGCGCATCCACGACCATTCGGTCCCCTGCTTGACCTCCGCTGTCAAATTGATTAAAGAATATTGGGCGGTGATTGCGAGTGTCATCGTTGTCGTCTTCACGCTCTCGTCATCCATCCGTTTGTTTGTGTCGAGCAGATGCCCCGTGCTTCCCGCGTCTCGTCCGTCCTGTTTCCGTTCCTCTCTGCCAGCTGATCCCCTCGGGTCTTTGGCCTGAGGGTTGCAACCATTGTGAGTGGTGAATCCCTAGGAGCCAGTCTGTACGGTAGTCGACTATTTGTGTACGTATAGGTATATGCATTTCCTCCTTTGCAATATCAAAATCATGGTTCAGGGGTGTGTTTCCGCCGGCCGACAACCCCTGCCTTAGCCCCGGGTGTCGTTGTGCAGCGCGGGAGGGGACCAAGAAAGTGCCAGGCCGAGGGCCGGTCATTGTCATTGGAGCCAGCACGAGGAGGTACGGATACTTGGAGGAGAGAGACGATTCTGGCGTTCGCGGTCTGTCCGACGTGCTCTTTTGCATTCCCACCGTCTCGTGTGGCTTGCAAGGATTGCGTGCGGTGGACCGCCACCATCCATGCAGAATCTGGACGGCTTCCCACCCTAATCACCTGCAAGTCAGGCAGTCCCCAGCCAAGGAGGGGAGATGTATCGAGGCGAAAAAAGGTGGAGGACTTTAGAGTAAAGGGTAAGAGGGTGCGGTATGTAAGGTTCAGGTGGCCATCCAAGTGGCCGTCACTCACGTCAAAGTGCCTTGGTGCTGGGTGTGAAATTTCCAAGTTCTGTTTCTCTTTTCCCCCAATATCATAATCGCTGTTCCCTCCCGACACCCACACTTTCCGAGGAAGAGGGAGGGCCCTTGGGATCTGTTTTCTCTCGAGTCCTTACTCTTTTGCGCCTCATAGGTCTCATATTCGACACGTGGAGGAGCAGCCCATTCGAAGAATTAGCTTGAAAGCCGAGAGAGCCCGTCTGGCCCGGACCGATCTGGAAATTGTGCCGGTGGAGACGCAAACAGGAGTTTGGCTTATTACCCCCCTTGGTCCTGGGTGCCTTCGTATGACGGCCATCGTCTCATTTCTTTGTGTCGCCGTCGGAGTGGGAGGATCGCTCGGGAGGAATCTGCTCAGCTGTGCAACCGAACCCTTACCACGAACGAAAGAAACCAACAAGAAGCTAAGCAGCAAATTGTCATCTGTGGGACAGGAAACATTGAGCAACAATACCAAAATCGCATGGAGAATTGTCGACCTGTCTGGCTCACCAAAACCGCATGCATCGATAGCGCGGGTTGTCAACCTGCTTTGACAAGGTAGTTCCCTCCACATCCAAATCCACGAAGCTCTGCCATATGAAAATCCGCCCGGCCAAACCTACGAGCCAAAGCAGCCTTTCTACCCCCAATGCTTTTTGCTGCTCTTGGCAGGAAGAGGCTTTCGCGAGAAGGAAAAGAAGACCTGGGCTGACCAGAAGGACAGAGGTCGCCGCCGCGCCGGTTCGTCGAGATGGGGCGAACCTCTAAATTCACATTCCCCGTCCCCGGGAGGAAACAGAAACCGCCGTTTGGCCCGATTGTGTCGGGGCCCATGTCGAAAGCGCAAAAGATTCTAGGAACCGCCGAGATCAACATCGACGCTCCGCGACAATGGGATTCCGCCTCCAACTCCGGCATCAGCGTATGCGTATCCGAAAGCACGGCGACTTACAACCCGAGCGAAAGAAGCCGAGCAGTGATGCGCCATGAAGAGGAGGGCAGTTACGCAGGGAATAATCGTAGTAGGAACAACAACACGAACGCGCAATGGGAACAGGAGTCCGAGATCGTGCCAGCTTTCTTGACGAACCGATTCGCGCAGCTGAACACCGAAGGCAGCCAGCGAGAGTTTACTACTGAAACATCAAGCCTCGCCCGACGTGGCTCAAACTCGACCATCACCTCGTGGTACGACAAGACGAAGATGCCGCTTTCGATATCGCAGCAGACATCCTCCTCCGCCATGGCAAAGGGCCTGCCGCAGAAGGCCAACGCCGTCCTCGATATTGAAGGCCAATCATCGACCAATGTGCCAGCACCGTTGAACCTGAAAGCCAAGAAGAGGCCGAGTCGACTAGATCTTGGGCCATTGTTGTCTCGGGCTAAGCACAACAGCTTAAGGGGCAAGTCCGACCCTCAGGGAACGAGCTCCGTACATGGACACGAATACACCAACCGATCGCCCTCGCTCGCCTCGGTCACCTCACCCAAGAGCACACCACCGCCAATCCAGCAAAGAATCGAGAGGAAACTAACGAGAAAGAGCACGTACGACAGCCTGAACTCGACCGGAAGCCGGCCGAGAACAGGTTCCAGCAGCCGCAGAGGCGCCAACGACATCAGCACGTTGCCCAACCTGTATGAGCATTACGAGCAAATGTCGTTTGACTCAGTCCTGGGACATGATGGTCCTTTGGCTGCTGCATCAACTCACTCTCTGAATAGTGTCGCTCACACACCACTAAGATCGCCGTCCACCACAGACCACCAAAGGAGGAACTTCTCGAGGCCACCTCTGAGACAAGAGGGGACGATGTCGACATACCAACCTCAATTCGGACCACTACCAGAGTCTACTGCCACACCAAGCGGCCACCAACAGACGCAGCCCGATCGCGATTGCGCATCAAGCGTTTCAAGTCGCTACACCAAGACGTCAAAAGCCTCCAAACGAACAAGCCAGAGTCTGAACGGTTCTGATCTGATGGAGAAGAGTGTTTTGTCGCTGTCCTCAGACTCGGAAGATGACTTCTTCCCCGACTCCGTCTCGAAGTTCACCGGGGGTTCTCGCAGCAGTGATGCGGGAAGTTTGGCTCCTTCATCGCTAAGATCGACACACTCTCGAGATGCGCCGTCATTAGGGCAAGGCTCGAGAAAGTCTGTCAAACATGCCAGCTTTGCCCCAACAAACACATATCTCACCATCCCTAGCAAATCGCCGCCCAGCAAACCACCTAGCGTCAACGCGCGCATGAGTTCGTTACCTTCAACTACATATCGGCCCCCGCCAGCTGCGTCAAACCGGACATCACAATACTCGACCATGTCGACATCAACCACTGACTCACTCAATAACTCTTTGAACAACTCTCTGAACAGCTCTCTGAACAGCCGACAAAGTCGCGCGAGTTACGGTGTTCAGGAGGCGCGCGTAATTGCAGTGCTTCCCCCACAAGAATCACACGCCAACCCGGATCGTATGATGAGCAACCCACCCCAGCGCATGCTGTCCACAAAGTCTTCTTCTGTCCATTCGGTCGACCAGCCAACGCCGCCCATGAGCCCGACATCAGTAGAGTCCTTTATGAGTTCCGGCGGTGGCGCGGCCGCGGACGCCAACAACACCGCAGACTCTCGCTTTATGGCCGTAACCCGACAGGAAGAGATGCTGCTCGCGGCTCTCCGGATGAAGCGCGCTCGCATGCGCGAATCGATCCTGGCCGAATACGAAGACGAGTCGAGAAGTTCTTCCTCCTTCCATCAGCGCAACTCGTCGCAGGGCACAATCACCGAGATGGACTGGCCCGAACCCCCGCAGACCCTGCGTCATCAGACATCGGCAACTTCGAACAGCACCATCAAGGCCGGATCGCGCGCCTCTGACAGTCGTCCGGCGTCTTTGGTCAGAGGCCGGAGCCATCAACGCAGCAACTCCCGCCATCTTGACTTTCCCGCGCCCTCGTCGCAGCCGGTATCCGGCGCATCCTCGAGGACGGGCAGCATGCGCAAGATGAGACCGGTCCAAGAGACGACACAGTCGAGCGAGTCCTCCAAGCAGGAGCGCATTCTGCTGTACTTGGACAGGCCGGTGGGCAACGTCAACTCAATGGACTTTGCGGAGCCGAGCCCGGACCTGAGCGACTTCATGGACTTTGACAACGTCAGCGAGGAAGACGAGGAGTTCACAAGCAGTATGTCCATGTTCCGGAATCGGGACCACCACCGTTTCACCATGGGCGCGGTGGGCAACAAAAGCCGGGGACGGATGCTGATGACGGGCGAGAGGGTCCGCCACGAGTCTTCGCCACTGAGACCGAGGGGCGACGACGACGATTTCGGAAGCCGGAGCGCGAGCACGAAGAGGGCGCCGACTACCGAGATTGTCGAGAGCGATAGCGACGTCGAGCCGATGTTTGGTATCCCTAGGCCGGATTCGCCCGTGTCGCCTGAGGGGACCCTGGGTCTTCCTCACCAAGGGCTGTCCAAGAAGAAGGCTGTTCGGCTCAGCGCGGTCGGCAACGCGGGGGTTGAAGCCGGCTGGTGGGGGGACGACGGTTGATCTGTTTGCAGTTGATCAGGGAATCTTCTCCAAAACTAGGGAGGTCTTCTTTGTCTTTCTCGTCGTGTGGGAACGATTTCTGATAAATCTTCTTCATGATACCCCTGCACATGAACAAAACGTCTCTTTTCTTTTCTCTTTGTCGATAACAAGATCCTCTTGCTGTACAAAAGATTCTCTTAACGGATATAACCAAGACGCGAGGTGTTATTGGGGCCCAAAGGACGGCGGGATGGGATAATTGTGATTCGGAACTCTGGATGAAGCGGGAGGCCAGGGACATCTTTTGCATGAGCCATTTGCATTTTTGGATTTATTTATTCTTTTTGACCCTCGATGTAGGGGTTACCCGGCATTACGCCCAGTCGAAACCTTTTCTATTGTATGTAATACTATTACAAGGTACTCTTGGATGGGAGGGAGGAGCGGCGTAATGAGAGCATCAAACAACTAGGGGGAGGTAGAGGCCTTCGAGATGGAGGCCGCTGGCTGAGGAGAACCCAGCAAGGTGTTGTGAGAGCCACAGTCCAAGTCGGTGATGGGATAGACCATCGCGCGATGACTGAATACATAGTCACTCGATAACGAATTTACCTCAACCTTATAAACGTCTGCCTTTTCTCATTCCATAGTCAACGCCATTTGGCACCTTCTTATATACTTGATTGACATGCCCTTAACGAGCGCTTAAGTTGTTTTATCTACTTCATCATGACCTTGCTCATGATTGTATGTTTTTCATCAGTAGCGGTGATGCTTTGAAAGTATCGAAGCAGTGTAAGGTGTGATGGCAACATCACGCAAGAAATGTAAGAGGTTTGATCAAGGCGATTCAGCCAGTGACGAGAATGGGCTTGGGCGGATATTTCAAGGCATTCTCTCCTTGTGTATTGTGTTGGACCGGATGAATATACACTGGTTCACGAGATCATGACACTCGAACAACAACGCCCGCGCCACTCATTCCCTTTGGTTCATCCGCCTTACTTGTCCATCAATGTCTGGCTCGATAATGCGGCTTGACGCAGTGAAACAGACACACGATGACAACGTTCAATAAGTTTAGATAAAGTAGGATGATCTCAATAAGGCGATGATATGATACGGTCAGAGCGGTATGCCCCGCATCCGACGCGGGGTAGAGATAGCAATTGAATGATCAGATCTGCAAGGGAGTCCGAACCTCATCCTCCTCTCATGTAAACACCATGTGTAGCTCATACGATGCATAAACTCATCAGAAATCATCTCCTCCTTCTCCCGGGGACCATCCTGGCAGCCGGATACGGATCGGGTCCATCAGACCAGCAAAAGCCACTTACATCTCGGACCTGTCTTGCCCCACTGCCAGCATCCGCATCGGATCCCCGAGACAACTTCCCGGATTGCACCCGGGATCCCCTCTGCTCCATTGACGTCTGCGACGAGTCTCTCTCTCCGAACCAACGCGCAAAGGCACTCGTAGCTGAGCTCACGATATGGGAGAAGCTGGATAACCTCGTCAACGAAGCGCCAGGCGTCCCGCGACTCGGGATCCCGCCATATGAGTGGTGGTCCGAGGGCCTCCACGGCGTCGCGTCGTCGCCGGGCACAAAGTTTGCAGAGAGCGGCAACTTCAGCTACGCGACATCGTTCCCGCAGCCGATTGTCATTGGCTCGGCTTTTGATGATGAGCTGGTGGAGGCTATCGGGGCTGTAGTCAGCAAGGAGGCGAGGGCGTTTAGCAATGATGGCCGATCTGGACTCGATCTCTACGTGAGTGAAGACTGGAATGAAGGGTATTTCACTCAGATTAGATATTGATACAGCTTCCAGTCCCCAAACATCAACGCCTTCAAAGATCCCCGGTGGGGGCGCGGCCAAGAAACACCTGGCGAAGACCCCTTTCACCTCCAAAACTACGTCGCGGCAATGCTCACAGGCCTCGAAGGATCCTCCGACCCATCCAACAAGAACCTCATCGCGACATGCAAACATTACGCAGCCAACGACTTTGAGCACTACAACGGCGTCGACCGCGCCGGCTTTAACGCAATCATCACGACCCAGGACCTCTCAGAGTACTACCTCCCGCCCTTCAAGACGTGCGCCGTCGAGAAGAACGTAGGCTCCTTCATGTGCAGCTACAACGGCATCAACGGCACCCCGCTATGCGCCAACGCGTATCTCCTGGAGGATATCCTCCGCGGCCACTGGCGATGGAACGGCGAGGGTCAATACGTCTCCACGGACTGCGACTGCGTCGCTCTCATGGTCTCATACCACCACTACGCGCCGGACCTCGGACACGCTGCCGCGTGGTCGATGAAGGCCGGCACGGATCTGGAATGCAACGCCTTCCCCGGCTCCGAGGCCCTGCAGCTGGCGTGGAACCAGTCCCTTATCTCCGAGGAGGAGGTCGATCGCTCTCTGACGAGGATGTATACGGCGCTCATCTCCGTCGGCCAGTTCGACTCTGCAAGAGAGCAGCCGTTGCGATCGCTGCTCTGGCGAGACGTTGATACGGAGGAGGCGCGGGAGCTCGCTTACAGGGCGGCCGTCGAGGGCGCGGTGCTCCTCAAGAATGACGGGATCTTGCCTCTGTCCGCGGATTCGGGTAAGAAGTTTGCGCTCGTCGGTCCTTGGGCCAAGGCTACGACGCAGATGCAGGGTAATTACTATGGTCCAGCGCCGTACTTGGTCTCCCCTTACCAGGCTGCTCAAGACCTCGGGCTGGAATTCACGTATACCCTGGGCTCCAAGATCAATGCCTCGCACGACTCACTTTCCGATGCACTCAAGTCAGCAAAGGAAGCCGATGTGGTCATCTTCGCGGGTGGCGTCGATAATACCCTAGAAGCCGAAACACTCGACCGCGAGACCCTGGCTTGGCCTGAACCTCAACTGGAGCTTCTCCACGCTCTCGCTGAGGTCGGGAAGCCGGTCATTGTGCTTCAATTCGGTGGCGGGCAGGTAGACGACACGGAGCTCCTAGCCAGCGACGCCATTAGCGCGATCCTCTGGGGCGGTTATCCGGGCCAGTCCGGGGGCAAGGCCATCTTTGGCTTGCTTTTTGGGCGCGAAGCGCCGTCTGGGAGGTTGTCCATCACGCAGTACCCGGCAATCTACAACGAAGCGGTCCCCTCGACGGATATGAATCTCCGACCGGTACCGGGTAACTCGGGCCTCGGGCGGACGTATATGTGGTATCTCGGCGAGACGCCCGTGCCGTACGGCTTCGGTTTGCACTACACGACCTTTAACGTCAAGCTCAAAGCGCTACAGGAGCCTGCTATTACCACAACTAAACAGCTCACGCTTTTGGAAGACAGCGAGGATACGTCTGGTGTACCATCATGGCAAAAGACCCTAGAGAGGCCGATGCTGACTGTTGCCGTGACTGTCACCAACACTGGGGAAGTTGCCTCTGATTACGTGGCGCTGCTATTCCTCACATCGGATGCCGGCCCCGAACCCAGGCCGCTCAAGACTCTGGCGGGATACACTCGCTTCAGAAGTATTCAACCCGGCCAGGCCGCCGTGAAGGAGGTCGTCATCACCGTGGAGCGTCTGGTACGGGTCGACGAGCTAGGGAATCGGGTGCTGCATCCCGGATCGTATGAGGTGTTTGTGGACCTGGATAAGAAAGCGATGCATAAGTTCCACGTGGGTGGTCCGGCGGTCGTGGTTGAGAAGTTCCCACAGCCGAAAGCTTAGAAGTGCTAGTTCTTGGAACGAAGCGGCAGTCAAGTCTCGCAAGAATGTAAGGCAGACTGGAAGCCCTGAAGTGAAGACAGTCTCAGGTTCTTTCGTCGCCGGGATTCATTTGCCAGTAGCAATTCCCACCGCTTGCGTGTGATGTTATCGCAGTCATAGACTCCAGGAAGAAAATGACGCCCGCTATGCAGTGACTCGTAGCAGCTAGATAGAACCACACCCTGACTGTTTGGACAGTCGAAGGCTAGGCGAGGAAATGGATGAAGTGACTGTTTCTTCCATTTCATGAGTCTATTACACTTTTAATGAGGGGCCAAACAACTGACTCTGTCCCAAGGCAATCCAATCCCTGATTCAAAGTCGTCTGCCCATATCAACCTCCAATATCATGAACACCATTGCTACGTCTTTCCAAGAACACTGTCGTAGGTGTTTCATTAGGCGTATTCTCTGAACGCCGAGACGGACCCGGGTTCGCGAGGCAAGCCTTGCTCTCGCTTTCCGTCGGGCAATCGTATATGTGTTTTTTAAGCGAGATTTTGATGCGACACGTTGCTCGACTCTCAGTTGCCATCCAAGCGACGACCAATGTAAGAATGAACATCTGGCACGCAAACATTCGACACATTCGTCGCCAGGTTCTGACACTCGGCATCCGTGTATAACTCGACTACCCCAAAAGTCAGCCAAACCCACGAACCAATTTGTACCCAAAAAAAGACACAACAGAAAGAGACTCACAGCTAAAAACAGGCGTAAGACCGCTCGCCGAAAACTTCTTATACGTAGAGTTATCAATCCCAACCGGGATCCGGTGGCACGCGCCGACATAATCGGGCGGGATCGCCATGGCCTGTCCGCGCAGCGTGCCCGTCTCCATCTGCAGCGGGTTTCCCGTGCAATCGGAGGCGGCGTCGTAGAACATTTTGATGGTGCCCATGATTGGCGTCGCGGTCGCGGTGGCAGTGAGGGCTGCGAGGGCGGCGGTGAGGGTTGTGAACTGCATTTCTGGTGTCGTGGGTAGGTACTTGGTGAAGGGTTGTTGGTGGACCTAGTTCCGAGTATCGAGAAAAGGATTAGAGGTTGAGATTGAAGGAAAGGACATTCTCAAGTATTTAAGTCAGTTCATGCGGTGAGGTCACGTACTGGGGTCGTCATTGTTGTTGTGGAACTCTTTTGCTATATTAATATACGATTTATACGGGGATGGGGGGATACTTGGCGGTCTTGGTCCTCTCCAAGCCTCAAAGCCTCCATTGATCTACAGAGAAGGGCTCGTATTTCCAGTGTTTATTTTCGTTCATGCAAGCCGGGAAGAAGATCTCCACCGGCCGGCCCTCCCGTTCATCCAGTCAATTGACGAGCAAGGATGGCACTGGTCGAATCTGACGATGGATTCCAAGAATAAGGTTTTCGGTAGTGACCGAGACCGATTTTTGAGGCTCTGGAATCGGGTTTCTCTGGAGAAGAGTGTAAGTATTGTGAACTGGCTCAAGTTCATGAGAGGAAATGATCAATCGATTACCTTCCCCAGTAAGACTAGGTTCTATCTTGCCAAACTGCTTCATTGTGACATATCTTGTGACTCCTTGAAAGGAAGCATTTAGGGTTGGTCTCCAGTACCAAGCACCGAGGCAGTCTCCCTCCTCTCCAGCCTCAATCACACACTCATCGACGTGCAAATAAACTCATCATTGAATCCACGCTTATCAATACAAGCGTAGTACCGCTCCAACTGACTAATCCATGATCCCAATTCGCAAAGGATTCATCGTCTGCCTGCAGGGCAAGTGAAGAAGTCAACAATGATTGGCCAATGGCTCCAGGCACCACCAGGCACCACCAGGCACCAGTTGCGCCTCGATGGCCAGAATGCCTTGTGACTAAGCGGGATGAGGTAAGCCGAGCGACTTCTGTGCAGAGTGGTCCAAGCGTCTTGACTCTGGATTGCCATACAAGAAGAGGTCTACCGACGCTCAAGAGTTGACGATGAGTACCTTATGAGAAAGGCTGCCTTACCATTACTCTCGAGAGTGAAGAAGGACCGAAGTGTATCTGAAAAGTCTACTCATTCAGAGAGCAACATCTTCGTCCCCCGAGTGACACAACAGCAGTCTTCCCCAAGCGAGCTCAACTCCACCAACGCACCTTTCGACTTACACGACAACACCAATGCCGTCAACGACAGTCGCACAGAATGCTCGCGCAGCCAACAACCGACGTCAAACGCAGGACAACGATCACCGAAGACCCGAAAGACCAACACAGATCCTCGACATCAACGTATGGGGAAGCGGCGAAAACTGCGAACTAGGCCTCGGCCCGCGCGTCACGCAGGCACCTAAACCTCATGCGCAGAAATCTCTCCTGTCCTACCACATAGTTCAGATATCTGCCGGCGGCATGCATTGCGCCGCATTAACCAGCCACGGCGAGGTCCTGACGTGGGGTGTCAACGACGACGGGGCACTGGGCCGTGCGAAAACTCCAGATGCACCTGAGGAGGGTCCCCAAGATTTGCTGGACCCGTTTGAGAGTACACCTGGGCTGGTGCGTTTCGAACATGAAGTCGATGTCGTCCAGGTTGCGACGACGAATAGCGCATGCTTCGCTCTTACTTCCGAAGGAACTGTGTACGGCTGGGGTAGTTTTGCTGTAAGTCTATCGGCTTTCTGTTCCCCTCCCATGAGTCCCCGCTAACAATTTTCCAGGGAGGAGACGGCAACTTTGGCTTCCTTTACGATAAACCGCCAAAAACCACCGAGCCCCTACCTGTGCATATTCCCGGCCTAAATAGTATCGTGGGGCTAGCGGGTGGCGCGAACCACGTCCTTGCTCTCTCTCATGACGGCGACGTCTTTGCTTGGGGCTCCGGCGAACAAAACGAATTAGGCAGACGCCTCCTCGCCCGCCGCCGCTTCGAGAGCCTTATTCCCCAACGCGTAGGCTTGCCTAGACACCAGACAGCCAAAATCTTTGCAGGGTCGCACCATAGCTTCGTGATTGACGTCCACGGAAAAGTCTGGGCCTTTGGGCTGAATAACTTTGGCCAGTGCGGCGTCCCGACACGGGAAGACACTGGGTTTACGACAATCATTTCTCCAACAGTCGTCAAGAGTCTTGAGGGATACTCGATCCACCACATCGCCTGCGGTCTTCACCATTCCATTGCTTGCACCAGCGAGGGAGAAGTCTTGGTTTGGGGTCGGTGCGATGACGGCCAAATGGGTATCGATTTGAACGCCGTGCCCCACGACAACATCATCTTCGATTCGAGAGCGGAGCCAAGGGTACTGAATGTCCCGACCGTCGTTTCTGGTATGTTTCTCTCGGCTTTGAGCCTAAGCTCTAAAACTGATCACCCCTTTTTAGTACCTAGTGCCGACTTTGTTGCGGCTGGAATCGATAATTGCTTCGCAGTTTCTCGTGGTGGTGACGTGTTTGCTTGGGGGTTTTCAGTCAGTCATAACACCGGACTTGCGACAACTGAAACCGTAAAAGAACCGACAGAGATGCGTCGCAGTGGTCCTCTGACGTTCGTCGATGCGGGCGGCCAGTTTGGTATCTCAGCAGGACCACGATTGCGTTGAGCTTTCAAAGTACCCTTTTGTCTGTTTTTGTGCTCCTTCACACAATGAGGAAGTTGAGGTTCGAAGCCCTTAGCTTTTGAACCCATGTGCGCTCCGTCTGCGTATCTGGGTCCATAGACTCCTCGAGGTTCCAAATCGTCTGTAAAGTGTCCATGGCGGTCATGATGAAGCCCCAAGGGGTCGCAATCATGAGTCTTTTCAGCCGATCAAGAATCCATTTTCGTCTTTCCGGGTCAGACGTCCCGGCACCAGCAATGAACGTCGGCAGACATGTCGCCTTGAAATTGGGGTCTTCGTCGTGAATACAGGAGAGGTGGTAGAACATCTGACTGTCCAGCTCATCGCGGTCGACGGGCACCAGGATTGAAGCGGACGGAAGGGCGTGGAGGATGTACAAGCACGCGGCAAGTCTGTGAGCGGAACCTGCATGGATTCTACTTTCTACCGGGATGTGCTTGAAGTAGGAAATGGTGCGCGGCTCATAAGCCCAGTCGTGAGTATCGAAAGACAGGGCCTGCTCTAGCAGTTGCGCTGCGGCCTGAGCTATAGATGCTGCAGACTCGAGGTCATCTGTCGGCTGGTTTGACAGTTGCGATGCTGCCAAGAGAATTTGCAAAACATCCGGCGGGCAGCAGAGGTAGCTGTTGGCAGCAGCTCTGCCAAGCACGGCAGAGGCCTGAGAGGCTTGATAGTAGGACTTGGCAGTTGGTGTCTCCCGGTTGAAGGCGGAGGCCAAGATATAATAGCTGTGGTGGACGTGTGTTAATTTAGATAATTCATTACCTCACCCCAACATTAGACACGTGAACTCACATGAAGCAATCTGACATGACATAATCCCGTAAGGCGACATCTGCGGTGGAGGCGGGGCTCAACAAAGTCATGATGCGGCCCGCGCCTTCGAGATGGGGCTTCCAACCGCCGTGTCCGCTCTCGATCAACTCCACGTTGACGAAGAAGAGCACGGAGGCTAGTACCACGTCCCCGCCGACGCCGCCAATGTCCTGTAGGGCTGAGGAAAGCAGGCGCAGGGCCTTGTGCTTGGCTACCAGGGCATCGGTTAAGGCTTGCCGGGCGTTTAGATCGGACTCTGGATCTGAGGACAAGGCGCGGGACAAATTAGACATGTGGGCTGCGGAGGCGGCGACGATGATGTGCTGCAGCAAGGGGTGTGCTTTTGTCAAGGGGATCAGGGAACGGAAGGGGTTCCTGTCTGGGAGGTCCCAGGAGACGAGATCCCTACAGACGCGGGTAGTGACTGCGGAAGCGACCGAGTTAGCCGTTCTAGCGTCTTCCCGAGAGATTGGATGAGGAGGTGTGAATTACAGTAGGAGAGGTAGTGGCGGTAGTGATGCTCCACGCCCTGGAAGAGAGGATCGACGAGGGTCCAGGGTGCCGACTGGGTCTCGGTGCCGGCGGGCCGGACGGCAGAGACGACGAGCGCTGTGGAGTCGTTTTCGGCAGATTCGGCAGAGGCCGGAGGGTCCTTGGGCTGGAGGCCCGAAACGGAAGAAGCGGGGGAGGAAGAGGCTGAGGGCTTGAGCTCAAAGGTGGAAGTCCGCGAGGTCGGGACCAAGGCGGTGGTGGTATCGGCCGAGAAGGTGATGGAGGTCTTGCCGGCGAGTTTGCCGCGGCTGGCGACGCCCTCTGTCCAACGAAAGAGCTTCCCGTAGCCAAGACATTCCTGTCCGCCGACTGTACACTTGTGACAGTGGGGATAGGAGCGGTCACAGCGGAGGCGGCGGCGGCGACAGTTATGGCATGGCTTCGTCGGGGCGTTAAGCATCTCGATGCGTGACATTACAGCTGGTTGCAGGTAGCCGCAGGTACAGCTATCCGGGTGCGCGTCAGCGCGAGTGCGAGAGTGGGCGGCCGGCGATGCAGGCGTGTGCGCGGTATCCAGACTCTAGGTATACTCTAGAGTGAGGTAATCTCGAGTCTCGGCGGACGGTGGGTAAGATTCGCGTCGTCTCCCCAGAGGCCCCAAAGGCGCAGGCTCAATCCAAAAACGGAAGTAAGCTGTCTTTGTGGTAACGATAACGTAAAACGGACAGGGTCAGACAAAGCTTGATTTAGTCAGAGGGCGCTGTACGGGTTGTCGAGGTGGCTCGTGAGAGGATGTTGGTGATGGTTTCTATGGGAAGCGGTGGTTGTGACCGGGTAGTGGTTCGGTTGACGCAGATACTGCCTCAATGGAGAAAAGAAGCGTCAAGACATGCATGACAAGTATGTCCAAGATTGGTAATCGGAGGGGTCCTGTTGTAGGTAGGTACTGGTGAAGGCGGGGATGCCAGATGAACGTCAGAGCCTCAGAGTGCTCGGTTTGCGCCAGCTCAGAAGGGGAAACGAGATCAGATTGGGTGAGGATTAGGAGGTTTGTCAGATAAGGTGACGTTGAGCAACGGTTTCATGCGGAGAATGGAGAGTCCGAGACTCCAGTGCGCCAGCCCTGTAGATAGTAGGCAGATTGTCGATTGAAAATGATATGGCGGTGACGCTGTTGGCCTGTTGCTGCTGCTCGAGGTTGAGGTGACGGGAATCGTGAAGCTTCGATTCGGTGGCCGAAGTCGCCGGCACGCAGATGCCGTCCGATAAGAACCGATAAGATGGAACACTAGGCTCAATATGGAAGCCAAGCAACAATTCGTGCATTCCCTGTCTCCACATTTTCTTCTCGAAGACGGAGAGCACGGACAGTAGAGACGACGCTTGGTTCGTCAAAAGGCATGGGCTTTGCTGAGTCACCACGTCTTGACAGATGCACTAGACCCAAATGGGCGTGATGCGTCTGAAGAACCCCACATAAATCGTTCCATGTCGCGACAAAGAACCAACCAGAAGAAAGAATGTGTCAAACGCACTTGCTTTCGGAGAGAAGTTCGCATCTTCGCATCTTTGCCATGTCCACACGGAGCTGTCCACCACCACTTGCAGCACCCTGACATCTCGAATTACTACGTATTGTGTCATCACATCCAAGGGCGTCATTTCGGTCGTCACCGAGCAGCAGACGCGCAGGTCGCATACCAAACAGAGGCAAACTAAGCGATCGAGGACCCTGGGCCAAGACCGACAGGCAGACCCTCTCTCGTGATTCATTTTCCGTCTCAACTGCCAAAGTTTCGTCCCTCGAGCTGACTCAACGCCTAGTACTGTGTAGTCTTCCTGAGCTTAGCAAGCGTAGCCAGCTTAGCAATTCTGGCACTTGTCGCTTAGAATCACTGCGCAACAAAGAACATGCTGCCACAAATCTTCTGTTCCAAAACCCGAAACGGTGGCAGCTCTTTGCCGAGAAGGGCAGCCAAGGCGCACGCCATGCTCCAACGACCCGTCTTCCGCGCTTCTGTCACCATTCGAGCCATGTGAGGCTTCCACGCTTCTCTGCCCGCGGGCTGGAACCTTGAGGAGCCAAGCTGGACATCTGGGACGACGGTGCCCCATCTAGGCCCGTGGGTTTGTTTGTCTTCCCGGCGCTGGTCGTTGATCCTAGGCCAGATGCAAATCCTGACGCTCCATGTCTCCATTTCTCCACACCAGATGGCAAGAGGCCACCCCCGATTAGAAATTCTCTGCGTCAAAGAGCTTTCCTTTGATGGATCGATGACCTGCTCCTGGCTGCTATTTAGATCTTGGAGGGACCCGTTACCATGCATCCCGTGCCTATCTGGTTTTTCCTGTTGTCAAGCGATGTGTTGATATGACTGAGAAGATCACTACGATAAACATAATAGACTCTTTGTAACTGTACACTACAAAATACCCTGAAGATACATAGCGCAAAAAGACCAATGACGCAGCGCGACAACACCGACCGGGAAGCCGGCTCCGGCGGCCAACCCACCGAGTTCGACGTCGAGTTTCTCGGCCGACAACGCCCGGCCGTCTTCAAGTCCCAATGGTCCGAACTGGGCTTCTGCTTTTCCCTTTTGGGATCCATGTTGATGGCTGTAAGTCTGACTCCACAACATTACAAACTAAGATATCTTCACTTTGAGGCGTATGGACTCTAATTCTCAACCCAGGAATACTTTGTCAGTGGCTTTCACATCATCCTGCCGCCCCTCGCAGAAGAGCTCGACATCCCCGCCGCCTCCCAAACATGGCCCTCGAGCGTCTTCTCTCTCGTCACCGGCGCCTTTCTCCTCCCGCTCGGCAGGCTGGGTGACATGTACGGCGGCTACCTGACCTTCAACATCGGCCTCGCCTGGTTCTTCATCTGGTGCCTCGTCGCCGGCTTCAGCAACAACTACATGATGCTCATCGTCTGCCGAGCCCTCCAAGGCCTCGGCTCCGCTGCCTACCTCCCCGCCGGCATCATGCTCCTCGGCAAGATCTACCGCCCGGGGCCCCGCAAGAACCTTGTCTTTGCTCTGTACGGCGCCTTCGCGCCCATCGGCTTCTTCTTCGGCATCCTCATCGGCGGCGTGTCGGGCCAGTTCCTCAACTGGCGTTGGTACTTTTGGCTCGGCAGCATCGTCCTGGGTATCATTGCCGCCGTGTCTTTCATCACGATCCCGCGCGACTACGGAGACAAGCGCCAGAAGATCCGCATGGACTGGTGGGGCGCCGCGACCATCGTCCCCGGCCTGCTGCTCGTGGTTTATGCCATCACCGACAGCTCACACGCGCCTCAGGGCTGGGCGAGCCCCCAGATTCTCGTGACGCTGATCTTGGGCGTCGCTTTCCTCGTGGCGGCGTGGTACGTCGAGAGCCGCGTATCTGCAAACCCTCTGCTGCCAGGCGACCTCTTTGCCCCCAAATCCATGAAGACGCTTGTGGCCGCCCTCTTCTTCGCCTACGGCACTTTCGGTCTCTTTCTCTTCTACTCGAGTTTCTACATTGAAACGGTGTTGCACAAGTCGCCGCTTCTGACGGCCGTGTGGTACGTGCCCCTCATCGTCGGCGGCATCATGATCGGCACCGTCGGCGGCTTCACGCTGCACCTCCTCCCCGGCAGAGTACTTCTCGCCATCTCGGGCACGGGCAACCTTCTGAGCGTGCTTCTGTTCGCCATTATGCCGGATAACCCAAACTACTGGGCCTACGTCTTTCCCGCCATGATCTGCGGTACCATCGGCATCGACATCACTTACACGGTCAGCAACGTCTTCATCACGACCAACCTGCCCAGCCACCGCCAGGGTCTCGCCGGCGCGCTCATCAACAGCCTCCTGTTCCTGGGCATCAGCTTCTTCCTCGGCATCGGCGACGTCGTGGTCGGCGAGACGACCGGCCTGGGGCTCAAGAAGAGCTACCAGGCGGCCTTTTGGTTGGCCACCGGCGTCGCTGCCGTCGCGCTGGTACTCTACGCTCTCGTTCGCATCGGCTCCGCAAAAAGCGACCTCACGATGGAAGAGCGCGAGCAGCTCGCCGCAGCGGATGCCGAGGCTCGATCACGGTCGTTGGATAACACGTCGACGATGCACGAGGATGTAAATGACCAAGACGCTTCGGCGACGGCGACCGACACCGATGCGGAAAAACGCAAGCCGTCTGCGCCGGAGGAACAGGTCCCGGGGAGGTGAAAGAGCGATCGACCACCAGAATTTTTACGACCGTCACGTTTTTGATGAACATTTTCCTTCCAACCTTGGTTGTTGACCGCCTCGAGAAGTTTGAAAGAAGAAGGCGCACGCATAACGTCGTATGGAACTAGACAAATTAATTGATTCGGAGGTGTGGAGACTGGGAGAGGACAAAACCAATATGTTTGCCATGCAGGAACGAGATTGGGTAATACGCCGCGCCAACCTCCAGGTTCCTGGTGGAGGGGTGAGGATCATCCATCACGAGGACAGGAGCTGTCGGGCGCAGAAATTCCACCATGGACCTTGAGGTAAATATTGTGCGAAAACGAACCAGGCGACGCGTGTTACGACTTACGCACTCGAGAGTCATGAAAGGCAGAGAGACTTTCTGCCTCGCACCCCCGAGAAGCCGCGGCTCTGAGGATATCGACAGGCCCAGAAAAAGAGGCAAACTCCACACAATAATTCTGGATTCCGCGGAACCTCCTCAAGGCTCATCATCTCATGGGCGGAGGTTGCATCGAATTGCGCCCAGCCTGATTTCCTCACCAAGAAATTTTACCCAAGCTCGTACCGCCCGCCAAGTTTTCTGTGTGAGCGGCGCGCGGGAGCGGGAGAGAAGCACGTCTTTCTTAGCCGTTGCCACTGTTCCTGAACGCCGAGACTTGAAGAACACAGGGGAAAACAACAGAGCCAAGACAGATCAACGCCCTGAAGCCTCTAAAGGCTCTTCCAAGACTCCCATCGAAAAGTCTTGGGAGCCCAGGGTTGGAAACTGCCAACTCTCCGAGATAACCGTCTTGGCAACGCTTCTTGGCATTGTCGATTTACAGTGAGAAGGCTAAGTGAGTGGTAGGAACGACGACATGGTATCTACGGATTTACCATGCGGCGATGCGCAGGAGACTGCCATTGTGGTGTGGGAATTGCATGTATTGGAGACTTGGAAATGCCACCCAAAAGGAGGCAAATGCGCTGATCGGTGTGGGTTTGGCTTACAAAGTTACAAGAAAGAGGGGGGACGGGAGCATGAGGTTAATTGGGCACGTTTTGGGTTTCCCGTCAATGGTAGCACATCAATTTTGACTCTCTACCTCGTCCCTTTACCACCTTACATCAAGATCAAGGTACAAATACAGATACTGTTAAAGATATATTGTCACATTGTGCAGGGCTCAGACCATGAGACTAGGGCGACGCATGGAAACGCAAATGATTGCTGGAGACGTGAATAAAGGAGCACAGAGGAGGTGTGGAGTTTCCATTGAGTCGCCAATAAGCAACAATCTACCCAAGTTTCACCAACCAGTCTACTACTCTGCCACTCTACTTCAATACACAATGCTCTGACTGGTGGCCCTGTTCTTGTCCGTAGTAGTGCACATCCATGATCTGCCTTGCTTTACACTACTCTGGCGACCTTATTCTTATTCGTGGAACTGAGTCCGAACGAAGCAGTAGAGAGAAACCTCCCACCGGCTTGGGGCACTGAGCAACCATACGACCAAAGACAACAACTCCAGGTCACCTGTCACTGTCCAGTGCAACCAAAAACTACACCCCGATTCCCCGAAGACCATCGGCCTGTCCATCGTCCGAAGTACGCCACCGTGTTCAGCGGTCAGGATTGGCCGGTGGGGTTCAACTTGACCTGGGTCCGTGTGTAGTTGCGCTCATCCGAGGATGAGGGACTGCTATGAAGACCCTCCCGACGTAAGGGGTCCCATCTTCTTTTCGAGATGGACACACGCCTCGACCCTGTCCAGTGTCAGGGGATATTGGGGACTGGAGCCCGCAGCCCGCAGCAACAAATCCATTTCAGGGAATGATCCGGGTACGCGCCGACGACTCCCATTCCGTTCCAAAATTGGCAGCTCCAGCGCCAAAACATGAAAGTCAAAAGAACCGACATCCAAGGTTTCTGGGCGCTAGAGATTTAAGGTAGGCGCCGGGGAAGAAGACGACATCGGTAGAACCGTAGAATAAGCATCGGGAAAACGGAACGGACGGCTTCCAAAGACGCAGAGATTCAGATCACATACGGCAATAGTCAAAATAAGCATCGGGAAACGGAACGAACGGCTTTCAGTAGGCTGTTAGACTAACGCAATGGGATGGACCACGAGAGCTCAGCAGGATAACCCCAGATATGTCTGCGATGGTTGGTATAACTCATTCGTGCGTGTCCCAAACGAGCATCGCGAAAGCCAAGAAGAAGACGTGACATTCCTCTGCCGCTTTCCAAAGTCCCAAGACTTCGAGAAAGCCCAGCGCAACTCTTCTCCCTGGGGTTCCTCTCGAAATCAAAAGGCTTGGTACTCAATAAAAATATTGTGCAATATGCGACTTCCTACACCAATCTCCGCGCCGCCCATGTCCGACAACTCGATGTTGAAACAGGACTGTTGGCCATATTAACAAATCGTGGCGAAAGACATAGAATAGGGGTGCGTACACCCAAATGTTGCGGAACACGCCAAGCAAACGAGAGCCCCAGCTGCAGCCTGCGCGTCCGACAAGGCCAGTGCCCAGGCCCGGGGAGGGAGCAAGAAAACGTGGTTGCTGGTGTTTCTCTGGCTTTGCTGAACTCAATTGCTATCAATCCATAGCTGTGAGTTATCGAAATAGTTCAAGGCAATAGTAAACCCAAATAATGAGATTGAGATCCGGGAACCGAGTCCGGATTGCTGGTCTTCGGCTCCGGCACACATTTCACGACATCAAGCTTTCCCACAGTCCGGTGTCTTATGGAGGTTAGGCCCGGCAGTTCACTACCTGACAGGTTTCCGCGCTTTTCCTTTTCTCCAGCAAGATCAAATGACCTGGGAGCACCCAAGAAGGGGGTGGGCGGAGGAGCAAAGAAAAAGAGCAAAGAAAATCTCCTGTAATCCCGTGAAGAGCTCCACCATGTTCTCCACGATCTGGTTGATTCAGGAGTAAGAACCTGCATGTCTCCGACCCTCAGTACGGAGTAGCCTGCCATGACCACTCACGACAAGTCACAAAACTGCTGGCCTGTCTGCTGGCAGCGCTGAGCAAGCGTGGCAGGCAGAAAAAGGAAGCGGGGGAGTGTATCCCAACTGGGCATTCCGTAGGCCTTTGCTTGCAGTGCTTGCGTAAATGCGGGCTGCTGCGGACAATAAGCGCCACGCTCCGGGCGGGCAGGGTTGGCTGACAATCTGGCAGTTGAATGACGGGAGTGACAGCCTGCATATCCCACGCATCCTCGCCGCAGACTGTGCAGAGAAAGAGAGAGAGAGGCGTTCTGACTGGTGCGACAACCTGAACCTGAAGCTCTGAGATGGCCCCGGCATAAGGCGCAGGGACGAACTCCATCTGCCAGTGTCATGTATTGGCTGAAGTGCTCTTGGTGCTCAGATAGTACCGGCGTAAAGCCTTTCGAAGCTGTCAAGGAGTTGGCTAGTTGTCAAGCGCCACCAGCATGACATGACTCTGGGAGCTCTTGTGAGAGCTTCCGCGTAACAACACACCCAAGAGTCAAGACTCAAGAGTCGATACTGAAGTGAAGAGTCAAGCTCGCCACGAGTTGACGCTAGGTGACGGAGAAATACCTTATCTGAGACAGATCCTTGCCCCCACAACTCTACCTGATTTTAAATTTAATATACGCCGGGACCATGAACCCCACTTGAGCCATTCCCGTTCTGTATCCCTGACACCCTCAACCCCGGTGGGTTGACCCCCGAGCCGCCGAGCCAACGACAACGACAACGACCCAGAACTTCCTCTCTCCAGTCTCCATCTTGCCTACGAATAGACCATGAGTCCATCCTCCGGCCTCCGGCCGACGGGTCTGCCACCGAACGTGGGAACGACAGGACGAAAAAGGAAACCAACGTAAACGACCAGACACCCCCTCCCCTGACGCCTTCAAGCCCTTGACAACCAGACGACATGACTTCCTCATTCCAGCTAGCGCCCTCGTCTTACGGTCTTCTTCTGTCCATTCCCGGAATACACCAAATCGATTAAACAACTGGACCTTGCGGTAAGTGGGAGTTGCTGGTTGTTCAACTCCGTCGGTGAATTCATCTGGGAAAACCCTAGGAGGAAAATTTGTAACCGCGTCCGCAAACCTGCAGAGTATGGGGGGAAGTCCTGAAATTCTGCTCACCTATGCACGTTTTTTTCTATCTGTATCCTTTTTTCTGCCTCCATCCCCCCTTTCGGACCCAAACTTGCTCATCCCACACTATTGAGCGACTGCCGTAATTGAAGGGACCCATCTACTCCGTACGGAGGCCTCGAGTGCGTTTTCTTCTTCTGCTTTTGTCCGAAAATACTGACTTGATGCCCTGGACCCGGGCAACTGACGTCGTCCCCGGGGAACCAGTATTGAGGCTCTTTCTTCCGATGGTTGACAACTCCACCCACGGTACTGGGCCTGATCCGATGCCCAGTGGCCCCCGTCACCCTTTTTTTGCCGTGATCTGATCCGTGAGTAGGAAGAGCCGAAGAGGTATCCGTGGATCACTAGATCATACAGAAGAAAAGGAATCATGATTGAAATCCTTCTAGTCTATCCGCATTCTCCTCACAATGTTACCTACTACCTACAACCCATCCCATGTTCTCGGACTCCCTCCATCATGGCTCCATGTTCACTTGCTCTCCACACCACCCCTGCAACATGTCGTCCGCCCTTCTTCCTTTTTTTCATCCCATCAATCATCCCCTGGCTTCATTTCGAAGCCCACATCCCTCTATATACCCTGGCTCGTTTCCAAACGTCAACTCGCTCTTACTGGCTTAGTTTGTGTCTTGGCGGAATATCGACCAAACACCTCCTGGCCTGCGTTTCTCCTAGACAAACGAACCACCTTCTCTCAGCTCGTACCACGCCCACCACCACGCACACCCAGTGACACCACATGGTCGACCTCTTTTAGGCTTTCCGTCCCGTCTATTCGTGCGATTTCCAAGTTCGAGATCGCGGGCACCCGGGTACCGCTTCACTGCCACCGTGACATTGGGCCGCCCGTGCTTCATGCTGCCAGCAACCGGCATCTACCTTCTTGGGTCTTCTACTCTGCCCACTGCTTCCTTTTCAGGTTGATGTCCAATATACTACAAGCTCTGTCGTGTTTTGTCCCTTTCCCGCCCTATGTACTCCGTATCCGTAGTGTATTTCGTACCGCCAACTTTCTCCATCATCCCCTGCGCCTGACGCGATGAGCAGCGTGATCAATGAATGTACTCTATCCCGTGGTCTCTGTATCCGACCTTGGTGTAAAGTCCACACACACGTACACCCCTCCCCCCTCTCTAGATGTTTCTCCACTCACGAGTGCACCCATCACGACTCTCTCTCCGCCAAGGACGTCCCAACATGTGGCCCAACCTGTCCAGGCCCAGGCAAGGCACCACGCAAGTGCCAAGCCCCAAAGCGTCGAGAGCCTCCTCCTACCTTACCTAACTGCTCGGCCTGGGTCCCGCTCGTAGCCTTCAATACCACCATGATCCTCGCCAAGACCAGGGATATGCCAAGATGCGCACGCGTACGCAAGCCATCACCCCCCCCCCTTCCGGGAGTCTCCCAGACTGGACCAGAGAAGGAAGAGATGAACAGTACTGCAGTCTGCAGGACAAGGCCTGCTCGAGTTTCTCCAGAAGAGCCCAAAGGAAAGGGTCTTGGCCCTTGGCAACAGAAGCTTAGCCAAGAGATGTCTTGGCTCTGAATACTTAAGAACCATCCTCCTCCGGCTCTCATACTCACTTACCCTTTCGATCTCCATCCCGCTTCACTTCCAACTTCTTCAGTCCTTCAGCTCTTTTGCGCTCTTTGCATTCGTTCTCTCAGTAACCTCACTGTCAATACCTTCGTTCGACGTAGACCGTCAACCCCATTCTCTATTACAACCACTATCAACCAACCACACAACTAGCACCTCCAGCTTATTCACGAAAAGAAGTCAAGATGAAGTTCTCCATCGCCTCCTCCATCGCCGTCCTGGCCGCTCTGGCCAACGCCACCCCGACTCCCACCGTTGTCGGCGGTAACGCCGTCGACCCCCGTGCCGTCGAGAAGCGCGCCACCATCACTGACGCCTGCGACGTCGGCTACGGCGCCGGCACCACCGGTGGCTCCGGCGGTACCACCACCACCGTCTCCACCCTGGCCCAGTTCACCGCCGCCGCTACCTCCTCCGACAAGGCCGTCATCGTTGTCAAGGGCGCCATCACCGGCGCCGCCAAGGTCAAGGTCGGCTCCAACAAGTCCATCATCGGTGCCAAGGGCTCCTCCCTCACCGGTGTCGGTCTGTACATCAACAAGCAGGAGAACGTCATTGTCCGCAACATGAAGATCAGCAAGGTCCTCGCTGACAACGGCGACGCCATCGGCATCCAGGCCTCCTCCAAGGTCTGGGTCGACCACTGCGAGCTCTCCTCCGACCGTGACAACGGCAAGGACTACTACGATGGTCTCCTCGACATCACCCACGCCTCCATGGCCGTGACCGTCTCCAACACCTACCTCCACGACCACTACAAGGGCTCCCTCGTCGGCCACTCCGACTCCAACTCGGCCGAGGACACTGGCAAGCTCTACGTCACCTACGCCAACAACTACTGGAAGAACATTGGCTCCCGTGTCCCCTCCGTCCGCTTCGGAAACGTCCACATCTTCAACAACTACGAGGAGAGCATCGACACCTCCGGTGTCAACACCCGCATGGGCGCCCAGGTCCTCGTCGAGTCCTCCGTCTTCTCCTCCGTCAAGAAGGCCATCACCTTCCTCGACTCCAAGACCACCGGCTACGCTACCGTCTCCGACGTCGACCTCGGTGGCTCCACCAACGACGCCCCTGCCGGCACCTTCACCAAGCCCGACTACTCCTACACCAAGCTCGGCTCTGCCAAGGTCAAGGCCTCCGTCGTCGCCTCCGCCGGCCAGACCCTTTCCTTCTAAGTTATTAGTTGTCCTTAATAGTGGTGTGAGAATTGCTGCAATCAGCGCTGCCGGCCGTGGGATGTTTGTGTCCCCGGTTGGAAAGTACTAGGAAGAAGTACGGAATTCATGTAAATACTTTTCTCTCTCAAGGCATCAGACAAGGCCCTTGGCCACCTGGTTCTGTAGATATAAGTTGCCGGTTTCAACACACTCTTGTCCAGATGCAGTGTGAACGTGACAGTCATGAAATGTTCCTCTACCTCGGTGGCGACGAATGATAAAGGGACAAAATGATCAATCTAACATGATGGTTATTCTCCAAACACCGGCCGGCATCTTGTGGCTTGATTTAACCATATCACCCGAGGGAACCATGGTAGTCAAAGAACTTGGTGCAGCAGAGCGAGAAATCGATTCTGATAGGTTTCTAGGTAACTCTGTTCCTACGTAGACATACTCGTGGGTTACTCATTGGAAAGACTGGAAGAACTGTCCCCAACACCGCATTACATGGGCTTGCAGCCAGGTGGCAGCTTCGGTTCCTAATTGCCCTTTCTGGTCACGCCGACCTCGTTCCAGGCATCCCTCACGATCTTGCCTGCCTCATCTCCATACAATTCCTCCGCGATCTCCGTCGTCACATCGGCAAACTGGATGAATGTGCACTTGGGAGGAACACGGCCCGAGTTCATGGTCTTCCACCAGATGGGACCAGCCTTCTCGTACGAGAAACCGCCAAAGCCCTTCGCCGCAAGATAGAAAGCCTTGTTCGGGATGCCCGAGTAGATGTGCACACCGCCGTTGTCCTCGAAGGTCGGAACGTAGTCCTTGAAATGAGCTGGTTGAGGATCCTTTCCGAATCGCGGGTCGTCGTAGGCAGTGCCAGGTTCCTTCATGCTCCGGAGAGCAACGCCCTTGACACCGGGCATGATGCAGCCTTCGCCAATGAGCCAGTCGGCACTCTCTATAACGGTTATCAGTAATGTCACCGCCGTGATGGGCATCTTCCACTAACCGGCATCCTCCTTTTCGACAATCTGCTTCACGATGATGCCGAAAACATCGGAAACGTGCTCGTTGAGAGCCCCGCTCATTCCCTGATAGTCGAGGGGACTGGTGTGCTCAGTCACAGCGTGGGTGAGTTCGTGGCCGATGACGTCGATGGTTCCAGTGAAGTTACTCAGGAACTCTCCGCCGTCTCCGAACACCATCTGCATACGCTCTGGATCCCAGACTGTCGTTTGCTGTCAGTGTAGTCCTAAAAGTTCCAGATAAACAGAGAAGGATAGTACTTACATGCGTTCTCGTACTTCTGACCGAAGTGGACGGAACTGATGACATGCATGTTCTTGTTGTCGATGGAAATCCAGTTGAACTTCTCCTTGTACATCTTCAGCACCTCGCCAACATTGTCAAACGCGTCATTGACTGCCTTGTCGTCGACAGCCTTTTGGCCCTCCACACGAACCACATCACCAGGCAACTTGCTCTCGTTCTCGGTGTTCTTGGCGTCATAGATGGCCCGGTAGAACTTGTCGTCCTTCTTACCGGCAGTGGCAGCGAGGGTGACCTGGTCCTGTGGACCCTCGACTTCGCCCTGCTGGACCTGTTGAACCTTTTGCTGAACACCTCTTATGTGGTCAAGATCCCTCTTGGCACAGGCTCTGGTGTCATCGTCGACATCCGTTGAATCGGCAATGTGCTGGAGCAAGATATCAGGGACGATGGAAGGGCGGGAGTGGGAGGAGAGCTGGTGACGCTGGGCGCGAGGACCACCGAGGATGGCGAGGCGCTCGGCACGACGGGTGGTGAACTGCTCGCGGAGGCTCAAAGCCTGTCTCGCGGCATGACGCGTATGCTCGCTATTGCACTCGGCGTCGGCGATGGCCTTGAGCAGGTGGGGAGGCACGACGTAGCACACGTGATCGGCCATGATGAATGACTAGGTAGTATCAGAGTTGGTATGGGAAGACAGGATATTCAGTGAATGTCTTGGCGAAAAGACTCTGGTAGAGGCTGCGAAGTTGTTGAAGTTTAGAGGATGTCAAGAGAAGTGTGGGATGTTGAAGGTTGAGAGAGAGGATGTAAGAAGAAGAGAAGATGGTATTGAGGACGTCGGGGGGATGGCCTCTTATGGGCAATAGCTCGGTGAGGAGTCGAGGGGGGGGTGAAGGTGAGGAAAGGTGACCTGGCGTCTGCCTGCCTTTCTGTTGCCTGCCGTGTATCACTTTGAGACTTGCTGAACACGCGGGCTGGGAATGAGGCAAGTACAGGTTTCCAAGTTTGGGGATTGGATCCAGTTGTCTGTCTGTATGCGCCAGTTGGTGTTGTTGCTCAGCCTTGAAGAGGCAGCCATGCAATGCAACCTTTCTGGGACTTGTTGTCTTATCGCTGGCAGCGTTGCCTGGTCCTATCAGAACAGAGAAAGCCAAGACATGGCGATACAGCTGTCGTCCGAAGGCCAATGTGATTGCGTGACGGGGGGCCAGAGCTGTCCCAATTGGGCCGGTATTCGTGACCTATTGGTACCCCTCTTCTCATCGGATAACCCACTTCTCCATCACGAATCCATCATGGGCTTTTCTGCGTAAGCCGCGGGGTAGAGAATGTGTCTTTACCTGGAGAGACCAAAGAATTATGTATTCAAGTTGTCACTAGTGGCTTGAATGCCATACTTCTAGGTTTGCGAGGTGCGAAAGGTATATAGATCGAGGAGTAAAGAGCCAGAGTTGAAGCAATGGAAGCAATGACAAACAATGCGAAAGCGACCATCTCGGATGACGACCAAGGTACCGATAAGATAAGAGCTCCAGATACCTAAGGTACCTTAAGGTAGGTAGGTAGCTAAGGTAGGCGCGGGACTGGGGCGCAGCGGGTGCCACCCACATGCCGTGACCAGGTGTTCATGTCCAGGGGACGTGTAACTTGGTAAACGAGGCAGGAATGTGGCACAAGTCAGAGGAGTCGATGGGAAGGCGAGACGGCAGATCAAGAAAAGCTCTCCCCGAAGGCTGGAAGCTCCCCGGAGCGTTTGTCGTGGCGCCGCGTTTGTTGACTTACATGCCGCTGCACGAATTGGATACCTACGCCCTGTCTCACTCGGGTCCACTATCTTGGTGCGTGTGTCACTCGACGTCATTCTCCCCGTCTCACAAAACCTTGAATGTGCAAGGTAAAGCTTCGTCACTTGACATCTGGGTGCGAGAACTCGGGCCAGACAAATGGCTTAACTGACGATTCTTTCCAGATAGGAAACAAGTCACCGAACCAGTCACGTCACGCCAGTCAAGCCAGTCAGAGCGTAGTTCAGCTGGGCAAGGGAGAGCTGAAAAAGGTGCAGAACTTCAGGTAGCGGTACCTTACTGAGGACCCACTCCAACTGCGGGGACTGCCGGCGTCAACCCGGGCCGCAGAACGCAAGTGCCGGCTGAGCCCCGGCCAGTCCCGTTTCCCCACTAGAGTCTTTGGCGTCTACCTTACTTTGGCACTTGAGCAATAAGTGCATGGAGGAAACTGTTGTGCTACCCGGCTTACTTGCGTCGTAGTAAGGTAACTTTTGATGTAAGATAGGATGGGAAAGGTAGGTAAGCAAGACTCTGGCGGACGAATGTTACCATTATGCTGTGCTAAAGTGTAAGCGGGCATCGTGTTACTCCGTGAGAGGCTGACAACTTCCTTCTTCCGTAATTTTGGTTCGAATCAGCCGCAATGCGAGACTTATCTTCGGTGTAGAAGGAAGTAGCACTCCTTGTGTGTAGGTAATGTGATCCTCGAAATACCTAGGTACTACCTTACCTAAGGTAAGGTAGGTGTCTATGGTACCACCACGTGATGAGGCAGCTTGTAGATGGGAAGAGCACACCTGCCTCATCGTCACCATAAGTCTTTGGTACCTACCTGGGCAGCTACAGAGCCTCAAATGCTCGGGGAAGGCTCGAGGAAGGAGGATGCTGGGTGCCCTTCCAGGATCGTCTCAGGATCAAGGTGTCTGGTTGTCCTTTAGTTCTTCCCTATCCCTTCATCTCCTCACATCACTGTCGTTATTCAACTCGATTCCAACTCTGCCTCCATAGCAAATCCAAGAGTGCTGGGCTGCGATAGCAAGAGGTCATTCGTTCACGATGCCTCCCCTCCTTACCCCTAATCCAACACCCTCCAAGGCCCCTCATCCTCAATCTCAGTCTTCGACACCAGCTTCTCGACCCTCGCAAAGCACACAGGCCTCAAAGAACCCCAAAACAACAGCAGATCTCTCACAAGAGCACCACGCAATCATGCTTCGTCACGCACTCTCCTCTCCGACAATCCGAGCACTTGCCTCCCTTCCCCGCGGCCCGCCTCCCGAAGAGATCCTCCGTTGTGCCTCTTCCGCAACAGAATTCCTCTCCTTCACCTTCAATCCGTTGGAAAAGGTCGCCTTCTCCCACATCAACAACGACCCTTCAACCCGCTGGCCCTTGAAAGAGACCCTAACCAAGCCTTGGCACAAGGTCTTCCTCGTCGCCCAATGTGAGGCTTCGGGCGGAGACTACGGCGACTGCCTCTCCCTCCAGGCCAGGCAGAAGCTCTTGTCCGACAAACCCCGCATAGTAAAGATCCTGGGTCAGGTTCTGCGTGCCTGCGCCGACATCATGGGTTGTCGCAAAGACGCCGTCGGCCTGAGGCGCTCCCTCGAGACCTGGCGTGCCGTTGTGTCCAAAAGCTAGGAGGGATTGGCGACGGAGCTACTTCAGGTACCCGATATTGGGCCGAAAAAGATGATCACACTCGTCGAGCATGGCATCAGAACCGTACGCCGGCTTGCTGAGATGGACTTCTTTCACATCGAGAGGGTGCTCTCCCGGAATCCGCCATTCGGTCAGAAGATTGTGCGTAGCTTGGCACACTTCCCACGCCTCGTACTTGCTGTGGACATACCCAAACGCGACGAGGGCCCGAAAAGTGGTGTCATTGTTCGCGCCATCCTAGGCTGCTCAAATCGGGAGGCTCCTGTCTGGAAAGGGACGACACCTTGGGTTATAATGGCTGCCGAGACCTCGGATGGCCGACTGGTTTTTTTCTGGAAGGGAAAAGTCAGGAGCCTTATGCCGAGCAAAGACCTCGTGTTCTCTATCGAAGCGGCCAAGGGCGACAAGGTGTTCGTGTGGGCAAGTTGCGAAGAGATTGCTGGTACTTATGTAACAGGGGAGGTAACAGTCTAGACTGATGCGGTTGAAAGTATGTGATCGAGCGCCAGTTTTTGGGAGGGAGATTCTCATGGCATGTCCATTATTTTTGAAGAGCCTCAAGGAGTATGATGGAGTAGCAAAGGATTACTGAGCCCTAGGAACCATGCAAATGCTTGACCGCATGACGCAGTCTCAAAATAATTACTTGTTGTAATCGTGAGTAAATGCTCTGCCAGATGCATTAATCTCGCTTTCGTCCTCTGCTACACAGGTCACATAATCAAGCACTGCACGGCCGCAAAGTATAGTCGTAACGATGTGAATCTCTTATTCTCCGAGCGGCTAGCGCTGTACCGCTCGTCCGCAGCATGCAGCTGCTAGTCTCTGCAATATGAACACTCGCGCTCTCGGCTCCCTAAGAGGGGCCTCAGATATACAATGCACCGTTGCCTGAACCTTGCGGTCTGGCCGGGTATCGCTGTTGATGATACTGTGTGGTATGTGGGTGGTTTGCTCACATGCAAGCCGGACTCTATTCCAGGACTGGATGTCCAAATATTCCGGAGCATGCCACCCGAGAGAAGACAAAAAAAAAAGGTGCACAAAAAACGAGCCCCCCCTTCCAATCCTTTTTATTACCCTGCCTTTTGTTGCTCGTCATGGTACTCCCCAGCCGATCCCCCATCTCGACTCCGGTCAACGAGTTTACGTTACAACATTTCGAAATGACGTCATTGAAGCGACGATGTGATGCAAATTAGTCGTCGCGGTTCTTGCCCCTAGCTGATGGCGCTCGGTGGTGGTGCAGCATAGGCGACGATGGCCTAGACGTCGAAAGTCCCATGCTGCGGACCGCATCGAGCGGGTCAAGATTAAGCTTGGTTTCATCGGTGACGGCTGGCGTGTACGCCGGGTCAACCATTGCCTTCTCGTAGCTTGCAATCGTAATCGGTGGCGGGCGGCCCTTGCGATCGGGAATGCTGTAGATATACGTCGCGGCAAGAACCAGAGTGGTACCGAGAATAAACTGAGAATGTCAGATGTAAGAATCATGGCGAGTTGCGAAAATTTACTTACGGAGAAGTTGACTTCAAAGTTAAAGAACCAAACGCTGAATAGAAAGCTGATAACGATACTGATACTTGCAGCAAAGTTCTTTGCAATGTTGTCGGCGTAGTTAATGCACAACGACGCAAGCACGCCGCCGACAGCTTGGAATACGATTGCGGTCCATACGACCCAGTTGTAGCCATCAAAGAAACCATGCTTGGCAATGTCCTCCGCATCAATCAAGATAACGCCTGCCAGAGCAGGGAACAGAGAGTAAAACGACAGCTGGATGTTGCGCGTCCACACAGAGGCATGGGTTCCCGAGTCCTTGAGCATCTTCTCAAAGTAGACTCCAGCAAGACCCGAGGCGACGGCGGCGACGAGCACGGCGGTCAATCCAATCGAGTAGTTCATGAGCGGTGACGGGTCTTGGTCCTCTTGGATACCCTGATACGAGGCCGACCGCTTCACGATTTCTCCGCCGACGCCCGCGAGACCGTCCGCGGCGCGCTTGGTGAGCTCACGGGCCACCTCCGCCGCACCCTCGGCAGCTTGACCAAGCTCGTGCACGGAGCGAGGAAAGAAATGGTCTGTGGTGTCGTGCAGGAGGATACTGGCCGACGTCGATTCGGCATGGCTTGCGGACGAAGGTTGGGGAAGTGAGACAATGGATACGCCCAAGGTCAAGATGATCAAAGAGATCCAGCGCTTCATA